GTAACCTTTCAAATGGCACTCGACATTATAAAGACCATACTCATCATCCACTTTAAGTCTGGTAGTGGCCGAGGAAACTCAACAGGCAGTGACATTTCATGTGCTGTATTATGTTGAGATGACACAATTTCCCCAAGGTGTGATATGCTTCCTAAAACATCCTTATATGCAAAAAGTAACCGAGAAGTGTTTTACGAAAATTGCTTCTTTGACCTCTGTCTTTAAGCTTAGTAATTACTTAAAGATAGAAAAAATATAAAGCGTAAGAATTTACCTACGGGAACCCTTTGTCACAAAGCACTACTTTACAAAGTTGAGATCCTTGAAGATCCGGGGAGGGGCAGGTCTTCAGCAACCTTGACGTAAAAGGTGACCATGCTTGTCGTGAGATGCGACTAACGGGATCGGGTGGTCAGGCTCGCTGACTTGGTTGATGCATGTCATCGTATCCCAATTGCGTGGATCGATGCTCATGATGTCAATCACTGGATTGTCTCTGATCCAGACTAGATTATTTACAGACCGCAGTAATATATCTGGAATATTGATATGCGGCGTTACAAAGTTACCGGTTTCTTTGTTTATTACCAATCAAAAGATCTGATGTCACAAAGTGGAACAGGAAACACCTTTTGCCCGGGGAGAACAAGACCCAAATATGACCAGTGAGTGACTTTCACTAAGATGACCCCAAAGTCAAGAAAAAGATTATCTCGATCTTCATGAGTCATGACAATGCCAGTTGCATCTTAAACTGACGCAATGAATCAACACATCGATTACCGACTTGCCTGAAATAAACGGAGCTCAACATTTCAAATCATGAACCGGTGTTCACCCGTTCAGTAACCAGCCAAATGAAAATTATCCTCAAGCCAAGAAACATATATGCCAGATCCTAGTCAACACTAGATCACTCACAACCGCATCTCTTCTCAGATCATCATCTCATGCAGAAGAGACTGTGTACAAGAAGTCCTCTTACATCACCAGGAAGAACATCCGGGACATCAACTGAAACCCCAACCAAACCCCCCACCCCAAGGGACCAGCCAGCATAACTGTAAGAAACCCTATATTGCCGAGCCATCGGGTTTTGTAACCACACAGATCTGAGAACACAAATCAGCAATACTAAAAACTGGTTGAAGTCTGCTCCGTTGTTCAGTGGTTGTAAGCCCAAACTACTTCTTCCACAGGGACATGGCCGCAACAGCAGAAGAAACATCAAAGATATCACGGAAAGAAGGCTTGCTGAATCAATCCACATTCGCCGACGTACGATATCTATCAAGCGAGATGAAGAATACATCATGTCCTGCTTCTGTTGTAAACTCATACACCATTTATCTGCCTTCACCATTGGAATAAACACCGATTCCAGTGTAATTGTCGTGATTATCAAACGTTTACAAAAAAATAAAATATAGTCTCCGCGGTTCTGACACTGCTAGTTTCAATCTCGACATTGCAGTTGGTACTCGTGATGATCCGGAATAGAATTGGTCTTCTGCATATCATGCTTGTAGTAAGCGGCGACTAAAGGGATCGGGTGGCCAGGCTGGTTGACTTTGGTGATGCATGTCATCGTATTCCCATTGTGTAAATCGATGCTTATGGTGTTAAACACTGGATTGTCAGGTCCACAATTATTTACAGACCGTCTTCATATAGCTGGAATATGGATGAGTGCGGCATTAAACAAGAAACAAAAAGAAACATAATCGGGGCGAACCGGGATTCGAAACTACGATTATAGGTTACTGGCGTGCCCAAGTGACGCATCTCTGCTTAGCAAATTCGGCGCCTTAGACGACTTGGACAGCAGTGCCCTCTTGTCAATTAGAGTTACTGACTTTTGAGAAACTGAGACTTTTTCTGTGCCATTAGGGTTACTGATTGGTGTACCTATGCTTCAATCAATGTGTGAAATGACTAAAATTTTTACTTCGGTAATTTGCAAAACGCAAAAAATATTTCAATCATTTCAACAACAAAAATTCCGTCAGATTGACTGAAAGTTATTAAGAAGTTCAAAAAGGCTTAAAAACACCACAATAGACTAAGTTTGCCAAGGTTAGGAGCCAAAACATATTTTTTTCAATATACACAGACTTTCGTTGTTTTGTTAACCTATCATTTTCAGGCTCTGGGTGATGAAAAAGAGCAAAAAGATGTTGGAATTCGTTATCAAAATATAATAAATGGAAAAATAATTGTAAAGTTACTGAATTGTTTTGGCGTAATTTCAGTCATTATACACATTGACTGTAACTTTTACATATACACTGGAACTGCCAATTCGCTTAAGCATAGTCTCCCTTAAACTTCCCATTTGCACCTCCGCCATTGCCTTGTTTCCAATATTAACAAATCGAGTAACCCTACGTTTTTTATTGTTGTTTTTAAAGGTAATCATCGAGGACCCATTCCAAACGCTGCTTAATTCCAAAAACGAGGCTACGTTACCAACGTTTTTTGGGTTTTTTTCTACTGACATGTCTAACGTGGCAGTTGTAACACTGGTGTGCCGTGCAAAAAAGGGAATTCCATGTTCACATATATAGGTCACGTGTTACTTTAGATCGTCCAGGCTTTAGGTATAGCTCGGTGACATCCTTTAATCATGTCGATGTTTATCAATCGACCTCGAGTTAAAACCATCTCGACAGGTTATGATGAACGTTACAAAGAAACCAACTGACTGCCCGATAAAGTGTTTCAAGTCTACTTTTGCTAACTCGAATCTGTAAACGATCACCTGAGATAATTTCCTGTTTAACATATTAAACTAATTACAAGATCAAGATATAAAATCAGCACCAAACCATAGTCCCGTGTTTGCACCAGACCTTTGTGTATAGTCCCGTGTTTGTTCGGGTGAACATTTGCCTTGCCTTTGCGTGTGTTTGCAAACATCGTGGAACTCCTGGTATCATCACTATTTGATAGTGATTCACAAACAAATGCTTATCATATAATCTGGATCGTTAATGCAACATACCAGATGTAAGACTGAAAACCTGCGAGTTGACCAAAATGTGAGTTTGGGCCAATGAACCCGGAGGTTCTGGGTTTTTTTTACAATAAACGTTTTAACCCCTGGGCTACCCCAGCGCCCTCAAAAACTCGCAAGAGCGTTTTCGCTTGATGATGACCAAGGGCGGGACAGCCCGTATACATATCGTCGGTACTGGATGATTAAATAAATAATGTAGGTTACAAGACCCATTTAGCCTCCTTATCGATCTGAAACCGCTTCTTGCAAAATAATAAAAAAGGAACAAAATGTCAATGAATGTGTCATTTAAAATCAGGTATTTACTGTTGGTTGGAAAAGTCAGCCATGGTGTGAGTGGTTTACAACATGGCGATAAATCTGGAAAGGAAATCTTAGAACAAATCACTTTCAGATCGATACCTTTGTTCTTCGATGTTGAAACACCGTATCCTAATTATAGACCAGCAGGAAAGTAGTTTTGTTTGCCGTCAAATTGATAGACAGTATGAATTGATCGTCACATCTCTTTATTACCCGTATAATATGCTAGTAAGTGCCAAAACTCGCGAGATCTCGTTCAGGCGTCAAATACGCCATGTTTGTTTGTCTGCGGGGCGCAAAGTGCAAACAGAAATCGGAAACACGGTTTGATAATCAATCTTCTCTGCCCACTTCACATTCACTTCAGTATGGAGTTTCTTTGAAATATGCCTCTTATTGTTTGCAATTAATGGGAGTTGACACGTCAATGGCAAGGAAGAGGTAAGTTAGTTATCGACCGCCATGGCGAAGGGATAGGCGCAGGTTGTCGCCATGGCTTTCAGATTCTCCATTCACTGTAGTCAAGATTCGACTTAATAACTGATGAACTTTGATTGAGCATAGATTCCACATGGCCTCAAGACTAACGCAGATCTACATTATGAAAGCGCCGGTTCCTTATCTTTGATTTCATCTTGGATCAATTAAGAAATCAGAGTATGCGTGGTAGTATGACCGTTAGGCGTGGTAACCACAAAATATCACAGGCTTTTAAAGTGAAACGCACCTAGTCCATATTCATTATCTTCTTTTGATAAAAGAGAAGGTAACTTAAACTCTGAAGCCACTTTAGCAGTATAATGCCTTATTGACTTGTCGGGTTTACGTACTATTTATAAGTCTTTAAAAGGACGTTCCGAAACCATCCAATTGTTTATTGAATTAGATGTCCAATTCCTTGTATCCTTTGCTCCGTTATTAATTGGAAAAATACTCTTGAATGCTATTTTAAAGATTACATTTTTCTAGCTTTCTGAAGTGAATATCGATTTGGCTTTCGAAATGGCAGTTCCTATTATTCATAAGTCATACCAGTCTCTTTGAAGGCAGTCGGTGGTTACCACTTCGTTGCCACGTACAATTAAACGGACTCGTGTTCTATGTGGCTAGATGAAGTAACGATCTGTTTTCTTATTGTAGCTGCTATAAGATATTTGTAGCAGGACACATTTACATATATCGTGTTGGGAATTTTTTTAAACTGATCCCGAAATGTATGGGGGATGGTCTTAAGAAACGTCAAAATCGATCTTTGTACACTTTTATCTTATTGTTAGAGAGCTTTTTCCAGTCACTGATTCAGGACGGGGCGGTGGGGTTGTGGTTAAAGCGTTCGCTCGTCACGCCGAAGACCCAGGTTCGATTCCCCACTTGAGTAAAATGTGTGAAGCCAATTTCTGGTGTACCCCGTCATGACATTGCTGAAATATTGCAAAAAAGCGGCCATAACCCCTAACTTACTCACTGATTCGGGATAGAATAATGTTTCCTCTGAAAGAAAGAGCCAAACAATATTTTGGAACACACAGTACCTTTATTTTCATGAAATCCAGTAAACAAATAATTGTTTTTTAAACCTGATCCGAAAGAATGTTTCCAAGTATGGTCGCCTTATTTGAGACGTGTCTCACATTAATACATGTTTCATATACTAAAGTATCTATGTTTCGATTCGCAGATCATTCACGCACGGTTCGGCTCCGTGGCCCACAAGGTGTTCTGCGTGTTTGCTCTCCTCACCAACCTCGTCATCACCATCGGCATCATCCTTGCTGGACAGGCAGTCATTCAGTCCCTCACGAAGAACACCTCGGACGAGTTCTCAGTCCTCATCATGGCGACTCTCTTCGGCTCCTACTCCCTCATCGGCGGCCTTGGCACCACCTTCTACGTCTCCTACTTCAACGCCTGCCTCGTCTTCATCCTTCTCATCGTGTTCGTGGTGAAGATCCTCCACAACTCGGAATCACAGTTTGATAGCGTAGGCAACGTGGAGAAAATGTACGAGGCGGTGTCGTGCATCAAGGCGTCTGACGACACCGAGTACGGCTACCTCTCCTTCAGGTCCATGTCGGCGTTCCTGTACGGCATCATCGAGGTGTTCGTGTCGTCAGCTGTCACGTACTGCGACCAGGCATCCTGGCAGAGCAGGATTGCGGCTAAGCCCGTGCAGGGCGTGTGGGGTTTCATCCTGGCAGGGTTCATGTGGTTCTCCATCCCTTCAACGATGGCGACGACGACAGGGATGGCCTACCTCGCCATCAGCTCCACCAACGGAAGTCACATGCTCCTTCCGGGAGAAATAGATGAAGGTGAAAATATGGTGCAATTATGAAATTAAATTGAAATACAACGCAGGACAATGTTCAGTGAAATTCCAATTTGAAAATGTTGGGTTTTGTGCAGACAAGGGTAGAAATGGGGACTTGATGGCTGCAATGGCTTTTCAGTCTGGATAGTAATATTATTGGGCCACCACAAGACAAGGCTATTCTTAGATGGTTCGGATGTCACAGATGCTAGATGCTTAGGGTATTATGTTAGAGAGCTTTTTCCAGTCGCTGATTCAGGACGGGGCGGTGGGGTTGTGGTTAAAGCGTTCGCTCGTCACGCCGAAGACCCGGGTTCGATTCCCGGCATGGGTACAATGTGTGAAGCCCATTTCTGGTGTCCCCCGCCGTGATTTTGCTGGAATATTGCTAAAAGCGGCGTAAAACCATACTCACTCACTCACTCGGATGTCACAGTGAGACTATTCCCAATATGGCAACTATGGGGAAAAGTATTAAAAGCAACATATATCAATTATTAGGTTCTTTGATAACGTCTCCATAAAACTCTCCACTGGACTGAAAGGAGAGATGACTTCAACTTTCCCTTTATGTCAAGCAATATTCCTGCAGCTCCAGCCTTTTGTTACTGCGCTCTTTGAAATCTTCGTAGAAAGAGCAATCGACCATGCTCTTTCCACGGCGAATTCAAAAAGCGTCATACGAATCTCGCTCAAAAGTTGTTTTGTCAGGGTTTCAAGGCCTCAGTAAAGCTTTCAAAACCTTTTATGATAGATGTGTGGGGTACATTAAATTTTACAAATTTGACGCATCAATAACAAAAATTATTTCCGAAGCACTTCCTTGCTTTGACTTTTACCATAAACGTGAATTTGCCTTAAGTTTGCATGTATTTATGACGGGTGCCACCGGGTGGGCAGGATACACTTAGTTTTCGAGAACACCCGGGATCCTCTTTATTTGATGGTGATTCATAAACGCTTATCGTCGGAATAGTACAATGGACCCTCCTGTTAACAGAATTTTTTTTATGATTCTGGAAATATTTTTGGCACTTTTAGTTGGACAGTCAACAACATTGGCTAATCTTTTCAGAATTGGCTGACAATATGTCCAGGCATAACTACCAATACTTGAACAACAGCCTCTTTAAGCTGTTCTTAAAATGTGTTAGAAATGGTTGGTCGATATATAAAGTTGTTCGACAAGCATTATGAAGGTCTTCAAATAACAACAAAACGAGACAGTTAATTTGAAGTTAATATGTTAATTTGAACAATTTTAACCACATTAATAGCTACATTTGTGTATATATGTTTACACCATGTGATTAAGGATTTGTTTTTACGCAAACGGTACCCAATACGTTAAAACTCTTTACTGGACAAATATATACAAAATTAACATGAGAAAATATCTTAAAGGAACAAAACTTTCCAGCAGAATTTAACGAATTCTTATAAGCATTCCTTTCTGATGCTATGTACTCCAATAATTCAAGTATACAATTCTACATCTGCTGTAACATCTGTGAACTAATAATAGATTTTATAAATATGATACGTAGACGGGTAATTAATGTAATCTTTGTGACAAGAAGATAGAGACGTTTGACCTATTCAGCGATTGCAGCAAAATTACCTTCAACACTGGTTGAACATCAGCTCTTTACTTAAAGTAAATATTACTACACAGCATGTAATCCTTGGCTCTCAGTTAGAATTCACGATCCCTCCAAATCTCATAATTCTCATTTGCAAAAAAATCGTATTAATATGTACATAGCACATCGTTCAAGAAAGAACCTAAACAAGCATAATTTAATTTTCAGAAGTGGTAATTTTGACAGGTTTTATAAAAAATGATAGGCAAAAGAAATTATTCACCCATGTTAGATAGTGGTTAAACATTAAACAATCAAGAAGTGGTTATTCGATGGTGATTTATTTGATACGAGTATCATAGTGTTGGACCCAACTTTGCAATGTTTCGTGATTGTTTTCACCTAAGTAATGTTTTGGCAAAGTTTGTTATGTGGTCAAATCCAATTTTCAAGAGTATGCTTTTTTTGGCCCACAGTTTACTTGTGTATACATGCCCTGCCCTCTATAGTTGAATGTAAAATAAAATTAAGTATACTTTATGTTTGAGCGTTAAATGAAAGTATTGTATTTGGTACTGTAAATTTATGAAATTCAACAAAATATAACAATTTATGAAAACACAGCACGAAGTACTATGCATCTCTGCTTTGACATCAGAAGAGAATTTATGGATGTCAACTTCTTTATTTTGAGGAGTGAGTGAGTGAGTTGGGTTTAACGCCGCTTTTAACAGTATTCCAGTTATATCACGGCGTGTCAGCTTAATGTGGGAGGTGAGCCCGAAGTGATGCAGATCTAAGACGTTTTACACTTCGGTGAAACCCAAGAGCACGGGTATGGTGCTGACAAACCTAGAAACATAATTGGGGCGAACCGGGATTCGAACCCACAATCATAGGTTTCTGGCGTGCCCAAGGGACGCAACTCTGCACAGCGAATCGCGGCGCCTTAGACGACTGGGCCACCCGTGCCCCCTTATTTTGAGGAACACAACGTTTCGGATTACGTGCTTACTCCATTAGGTGATGAAGGAAACTTTATGTTCCTCATAATAAAAAAGTTGAAATCCATAAATTCTCTTCCTCATGTGTATCACTTCTAAATGCCTTTCAAAGACTTCCATTTTGTCATTTCATATTTTCGGATAGATGTACACTAGTATTATCTAAAAGTAAACAATACGAGTACTTCCTAATTTCAGTATTCTGTCCAGTATTCTCAGAACCAAGATATAATTTATCTAAAAATGGTCATCTACAGGTCTGGTGACGCCCCTGATAGCGGAGAAGATTCTGGGGTCGGCGGGAGGAATACTTGTCCTGACTATGGGAGCAATGGCGTTGATGTCGACGGGGTCGGGAGAGGTGATGGCTATCTCTTCCATCATCGTCTACGACATCTACCAGACATACATCAACCCCTTCAGGTCAGTGCGACATCGTCCACGTAGATTAAACTTTGTCTCGAGTTCCATCCCTCATGTATGGCCGCCGTGTTTACGACTGCAGATGTCCCTAAGGTGACATGGGGATGAGGATATTTTCTTGTACTTGTAGTAATGGACTATTTCCTTCATTATATCTCCTTCCATGACTGTACTATGTATCAGTCTAACTGACGTCAAATTATGACGTTATCGCAAGTGATTGATAGCATGACGCCATAAACAGCAATGGTAGTATGTCATGCGTCTACAAACTTTAAATCGACGTGTTTTCGCGAACACCTGGGCCCACTTGCACAAAGCGATCATAACTACAATCAATCTTAGAGACTCACGTCGATTCTAAAATTGTCTTAGCTAAAGTTTACAACCGTTCCACAAAGCGATCTTAGGGCGATTGTAACTTTACAAGTTCTTAAGTAGCCGATCTTAACAAAGATCGGAATCTTCAGCCATAAAGATACGAAATTTTCCCTTGGTCATGTTTAGCAGACGACGCATTTCCTTGCACACCATAATAAAAATCGCCATCTTTGTTTTTATGGTACAATATTTAAGATCGATTTTAGCAATCCTAAGTTGGTCCGGGGCAACTTAGCATTTTGATCTTAACTTACAACTCTCTTAGTTAAGATTGCTTTGTGGAACGGGCGGCTGATCGTAACAAAAATTTAAGATCGCCTACTTAGTGAGTTACAATCAACTTAGCCCTAAGATCGCTTTGTGGAACGGGGCCCGGGGCCCACTTGCACAAAGCGATCTTTGTGCTACGACTATTGTAAGTCTATGTTAAAGTATGGGAGTTACGATCATCTTAGCGCTAAGATCGCTTTGTGCAAGTGGGCCCTGGTTTCATTACTGACTTTCAGTGATTTATTAATATAAAGTTCACCGCTGTTTTGTCTTTCACGCCGATGTAATCTGTTTCGGTGGATAATCGAGACTTGTTATTCTCTGGCGTTAACGTTTTATATATTATTTTGAATAAATAAATCTTGAGCATACGTGGCATTGCATACAATATCGTATGTATTATATATTTTATTCATGTTTATAGAAAAAAAATTGAATATTATAGTCACTCTCATTTACCTGTATCACACATTACAGATATAACCTGAAAAGTGTGCACTGTATATTGTGCGGAAGGGTAAAACGTGAATCTGTGACCCAACAGAACAATGACGGGGAGGACTTCTGCGCATGCGTTGACGCCACTCGTTGCCACCATTGTGTGACGGACTTGCAGAAATACAGTAGCAAAAAGTCCTACTCGGCGACCGAGAGTTATAAATGCCCAACACACGGCAAGTACCGCGAATATCAGGACTACCTCATTAACTTCAAGAACATGTGCATTGTCTGGGTCACGATCGGCATTATCCCTCTGGGACTGGTTGTGTTCGAATCAGGCATGGATCTCAACTGGATCTTCTATTCCGGCGCCATAGCAACCATCCCGTGTTTCCCGCCAGTCCTTCTGTCCATTCTGTGGGTGAAGGCCACGGGGAAAGGGCTTATTGCAGGTATTATTGATCATTTCATCTTGAAATAAGCGTTACGATATTTGTCATCTTGAAATAAGCATCACGATATTTTAAAAAGATATTAAATTATTTGTGCATATTTCAACAAATTGAAACAGCTGCTGGACCATTATATACCGTGAACCACACATGGCGATGAACTAGCTTCATGTAATCGACCAAAATGACTGATTGGTGAAATAGCCAAGAGTTGTCTTCGTAATGTAACTTGCCCAAGTAGGATACTAGTGTTAGTTTATAGCATAAGTCGCTATGTGGCTGAAATAATACCGATGTGACGTTAAATTTTAACTCACTCACCTTATAGCATAATTTTTAAATTCCTTGTAACTTGAGTAGTAACCAAATTTACACACAGTAACATGGTCTGAGTCATATGTGTATATCCTGGACATAAGGGCGGTGGGGTAGCCTAGTGGTTAAAGCGTTCGCCAAAGACCTGGGTTCGATTCTCCACAGGGGTACAATGTGTGAAGCCCATTGGTGTTCCTCGTCGTATTATTGCTGGAATATTGCTAAAAGCGATGTAAAACTATACTCACTCACTCATTCACTTGCGACATGGTGCTAGATGTTCCCATAATATGATGATTGTTGCCAGAAACTTGTTTCACCATCACAACAAAATATGTATGTATGTATCGTCATGCGATATCGTCACAGACGCTGAAGTTCCCATTTTCTTTTCCCTAGGCAGTCTATGCGGGCTCGTGTGTGGAATCAGCGCTACACTGATAGCAGCATCCTTCTATGAAGGGGGTCTCAACAAATTCCTCCTAAACACTGTCCAAGACTACGCCATCCTCGCTGGGACGTCTAGCAGCTTCGGCGTCAGCCTCATCGTCTGCATCCTTGGCTCTCTGATGACGCACAAGATCTCGTCCACCGAGGACGAGAATCACGAATGGTACAAGATGTACGACATCGACAACCCCTTGAACCCCTGGGAGTTGAACTACCGTGAGGATTTGAAGGGCTACGAGTATCAAGGGAGACCATCCTTCGACCAGATGTTCAGCGCGTTCAAGTCGGCCAAAACCACAGCCTACATCGCTGGGAGTTGTGCCATTGCCCTTTTCGCTTTGGTGATTCCTTGCATCATGGCTAGCTTTCCCAATATGGATTTTACCCAGTTTTCTATGTGGGTGACATTCACTCAAATCTGGGCCATCGTCATGGCAATAATTGTCATCGTTGCACCCCCAGCCGAGGAGATCTCACGGATCATTAAGCAGTGTAGGAAAAACAAGGGCATGGATACGCAGGTGATAAAGAGCCCTATACCAGAATGCAATGAACTTATTGTGAAGGATTACGACATTGTTGGGAACAGTGACCAGCCTACGCATGTATGAAGCTGTACGCCACGGAACATGACAATAGCTAATTGTTTTGTTCGGATTCTTGGTTGTGACTTAGCTGTATTTTGGAGGTAGGACAACAACCTCACAAATTCTCTCGTAAGTGCGGGTTATGGTTTTCAATGAAATATGATGCGGAGCGGTTATCAAGAACGTGACTGAATGTCCTCCAAAAACCAAAATGGCCACCAGACCGGACATCAGCCACCGGAAGTGACGTCATCGCGCATCGCGCATGCCAAAAAAAATGGTTGTCCTGTTTGTGTAAATGAATACTGTATTCACTGGGGTCTCCATCTCCAACCAAGACAGTGGTTAGTCATGACAGGCTGAGGGTAGTACGCTTACGTACCCTACAACACTAGATGAGATCGTAGTTTAGCAATGTACACGTGGTTAAATATACGAGTGTATTCCATAGCAATGAAGTTGATATGTGTCCGTATCAACGTACACGTGAATATGTAGGTGTCTTGGCGTGTGTTAGGTAAGTCGGTAGACATAGTGTTATATTCAACCATTTCATGTGAATCTCTGGCGATCTTTCAAGTAATCAATCAAACTAGAAATTTCGCATTGATAGCGTAATTGTGTATCTTCATCCTAGAGGACGATACTGTGAAAGGATTTTTATTGTAAAGCTTATTTCGTACGTTCATATTTTGATATTGGTTTTTATTTCTAGACCATCATGGATGTAATTTGGATGTACCCAGTTTGTGTGTAACTAGGAACTACTATTTCATCTACATAACATTTTAACATGAGATACATGGGAATGTATCTATGCTTCATACGTTCACATCATGACATATCAACGGTGCATAGGGTGTCGTAATTGTTTTCCTTACATCATTCGTAAAGGTTTAAGTGTAGTGAGATAGGGTAGTGTACTAAAACAGTCTGGTACGTTGATACCGTACGACAAGACCGAAATGCAGTACGTTTGGGTTGACACATCATACGTAAAGGTATAAGTGTGGTGAGATAGGGTAGTGTATTAAAACAGTCTGGTACGTTGACACCGTACGGCAAGACCGAAATGCAGTACGTGGGATTGACACATCATACGTAAAGGTTTAAGTGTGGTGAGATAGGGTAGTGTATTAAAACAGTCTGGTACGTTGACACCGTACGACAAGACCGAAATGCAGTACGTTGGGGTAGACACATACGTCAAGGTATAAGTGTGGTGAGATAGGGTAGTGTATTAAAACAGTCTGGTACGTTGACACCGTACGGCAAGACCGAAATGCAGTACGTTTGGGTTTACACATCATACGTAAAGGTTTAAGTGTGGTGAGATAGGGTAGTGTATTAAAACAGTCTGGTACGTTGACACCGTACGACAAGACCGAAATGCAGTACGTTGGGGTAGACACATCATACGTCAAGCCAAAATTGATAAGATTAAGATAAAAACACTGTACGTCAAGTTAGATTTTTTTTTCTTTTTTATATCTTCATAGAGAACCACGTACGTCAAAATTGGAAATAGCGTATGTGGAGGAACTTGCCGTACGTCAAGGTAAAAATGAATATCATCATGGTGGAATCCCCGTAAAATCAGGATAAGACTAACCTACGTGGCGGGGTAATCTCCTCGTGAATTACGTCATTATTGACATACATGACGTCAAGATTGATATAATGTTCGTAAGGATTCCCCCGAATGTCAAATTTCAAATTAAAAATGCCTTGCGTCAACACAAAAACGCAGTAGGGTGATTTTTTGGAACGATGTGCAAACTTAGTCCATAATATATTTGAAAAGGTTGATGATTCCATTCAGTACTGACTGATAAGTAGGAAACTTACTATATAAACTGTGCACTATCCTGGAATATATCATCCCCAGTAGCACTTGTGAACATCATCATCAATTTTGGTATTCTTGTCGATGAAATGTTTCTAGAAAAGCAATGTCCTTTTCTTTACCGGACTTAACGTACTATGCATATCAATTTAAATTTGCATTTTGATATACGTACAGAGTAAACCCAACTTCAGTCATATTAACCTATCGGAAGATCATTCACACCGAAGGTTAACGAGTGCTACCGGAGATTACCGATGTCGGCATATCACGTTGTCTTGTTCTCCCCGAGTTGACCTCATCTGAAGAACGTGTTCAAAATATAATACTTAGTTTTGTAGACATATTATTGGCAAAAATCAATTATTATTATAAAAACATGTATGTTCATTCCATATAACCCGGCTCGAGGAAGTCTGTAGACAAAATATATAATATTATTGTGAAAATGAGTATGCCAAATTCCAGTCACGTGGTTTCCAAAAAAGTTGCTCAGCCAATAAGTGAGAGAAAAATTACTTAATGTCATCAGATAATTAGTTTAAAGTTAACGGTATGTATGTTTATACTAAAACGCAACAATATGTAGGAACGAACAGGACAGACGCGCCCAAGCCCCTTTTATATATTACCAAACGGATTTACAATTAACTAAGCAATTAACACACTATTATTCTGAAGTCCTTGTTAAAGGTCATATGTGTATATTGCGTGTGAGATGATCATTAGAGAAAAGCACTTCATACCACATTCGATTGGTCATTTACTCTAGACTCCGTGACCAAGTCTCTTTCAGACATGTTTTCTTCTAGGCCAAAAGGGAGAGAGCAATTCTTCCCTATAGTACGTGACGGTAATGGAGCATCGGTTTCAGCAGACCGAAGGAAGCATTTTTAGATTCGGAATTTGTTCACAGATATTGACGGACTCTCTTCCTTCGAAGGGTGTTATTTTATTATATCTGTTCCCGCTGGTACAGGATTTTGTAACAAATGTTTGCTGTTGATATATGCAATGTTGTTCAAATGTGATGTTATTTAATACTGTTTCCCATATGACTAGTTTAGGTAAATAAAGTACAAATAAGCGTCTCCTGACGTCATTGTTGATGTTGATGGTATAGTAGAATTGTTGATTACATCTAGCAATAAAGTTGTTGGATACAAATACGGTTTTTATTGTTTAGAAGCTATTGATGACTATTCTAAAAGAGTAGATACTAAATGATTGTGCCGTATATCGATAGAATGGATCGGTAATTCAAGACAAGAATGAAGAAAGTGAACATGGTGATATCCTCCTCTTCATGTACTTGGAGCAACAAAATCATGAAAGTTAAAGAATTATTTTTTATAACATTGTTTTTGGTTTAACGCCGCACTTTGCATGATTCCAGTCATAAGACAGCGGTTCGAAAACTAACGGGGGGCACGGGTGGCCCCATCTTCCCGAGGAAAGAGAGTTAACTGACTTTAAAAGTCCAGTTTCCACCCTTGCCGAACTTGGCTAGAATTCCTGGGCTCGATCGTAGCGCCACCAATGGTTATTATGAGTTATGTCCCTTCTGAGCTTCTCCTATGAACCAATCAGATTCCACCATTTGCATTTGTTTCAAACTAAATGGCGGCGCCCAGTCAAGAGGATCTGATCGGTAATCAAGATCTATATTGTGATAAAACGGGTCTTACATCGCGAAGTGCATCAAATCACGCGAGCACCTTGATTAAAAACATGAAAAGGTTTCGAAAATATCTGTTGACAACGAATTGCGAGATTTTGTGTGGACTATGCATAGACTCGTTAGTCCATCCAATATTTAACCCCATAATACCAGCCTGGTTCGGCAAGGGTGGACACTGGACTTTAATAGTCAGTTAACTCTCTTGCCTCTCGAAGATGGGGTGGCCCAGTCGTCTAAGGCGCCGCATTTCGCTGTGCAGAGTTGCGTCCCTTGGGCACGCCAGAAACCTATGGTTGTGGGTTCGAATCCCGGTTCGCCCCGATTATGTTTCTCGTGCTCGTGCTCGTGAATTTCACCGAATTGGTAAAAGGCTTTAGACCTGCATCACTCGGGGCTTTCCTCCACATTGAGCTGACACACTGTGATATGGCTGGAATACTGTTAATAGCGGCGTTAAACACAACTCACTCACTCGATAACTAACGAGCAAAATGTTTTGTTTGGCAATGCCTTGAACAGTGTTTCAGTTATATCACAGCTCATCAGTTTGGTGAAATCCGTGAGCACGTACGACAAGCAAAGAAAGGTATTCAGGGCGAACCTAGATTCGAACCGACATTCACAGGTTTCCGGAACGCCCATGGAAAGCAACTCTGAACAACGAGGCGTGGTGCCTTAGTGAATGAGTGAGTGAATGGGCTGGGATATTATTCCACCCTGGTCGATATTTCGTCTATAACATCGTGTCAGCTGGGTGTAGGTAGAAAAACCAACATGACTCCAGACTATGGACATTTACCAGTTTAGATACACCTCCGAGACATGGTGCTGACAGACAGGGACGCCAATCAGGATGGAACGCAAATACATGTATGGTTGTCCTAGTCCGGACTGATGCCGATTTATAGTGCTAGCCCACTGAGAATCCATGCCGCAGTTTTAACATGAATACCCCACTCAGACACAGTATACTGACTCCGAGCCGACCAGTCCTTGTTCTAGCCCCTCATGCCGAGCGCCAGGCAGGGTAACAACAAGTACCATCTTTTAACGTATTTTGGTATGACGCGGCCGGGGATCGAACTCCGGACCTTCTGCTCTACCATTAGACCACAGAGGAGGTCAGCTGAGGATGAAAACATAAAAGACCACTGGGCCACACGTTCCCCTCTTGATTTTTGTAACGTGGTAATATTGGTTGCACTTTGTCGTATTTAAGCTATGCCAGTGTTATAAATATAGTCTATGTTAGGGTCACTTAAAGCCCGCATAAGCTGCGAGAGTAGCAAATCCGTGCTTTACAGACTCTCCATAAATAAGGCTTTGGCAGAGCTGGGCGACCGATTCCGTCATTATACTTGATCAAACAGCTGTGGCAATAGATTGGATGTTTTTCCACATTTGGGGCAAAGAAGATGTCGGCAAAAACATTCCCAAAACAGGTATCGGCTAAAATGGATTCATCGGAATATAGAATAGTAACTGTGCTTGATAGAAAGTGGTGTAAATGGCGCATGTATAACAACATACTGTTTGGTTATTCGTCTGATCATCGTTTTATCATAACAAATGCATTGACAAAAACCCATTCCTGGTAACAGGAGACAGAGCGACATGCCCTATACTAGGGGTGGTGTAACAACTCAATCTACAACGTCAAAACCGGATGTGACCAAACTCAGATGAAGACACAGATGATTCTTCCAAATATCAACCAAAGATTGGTCCCACTTAACTAGCGTTACTGACTGGTTCGGGTCCTGTCGTAGGCGTCTCCATCTCATTCCAGACTTGCTCCTTTTGGGTTGTGTTCTCCCATGAGTTGTGATGCTACCCGATTCTATTACACTTCCAGGGGTAGTGGATAAAACGTTCACTCGTCACGCCGAAGAACCGGGTTGATTCCCCACATGGGTACAATGTGTGAAGCCCGTTTCTGGTATCCCCCGTCGTGATATTGCTGAAATATTGCTAAAAACGGCGTTAAACCATACTCACTCACTCACTCACTCACTCACAATTACACTTCCACCCCTAAAGTGACGACCTTAAATAATGCAAGCGTCGCTATAAATTTCTACTGGACACCTGTAGACCCTTGCACGACCACCAGAGCTGTCCAGATTAAAGCTAGGCTCATTTGTGAGTGCGTGAGTGAGGTTTTACGTCGCTTTTAGCAATATTCCAGCAATATCACGGCGGGGGACACCAGAAATGGGCTTCACACATTTTACCCACGTCGGGATTCGAACCCGGGTCTTCGGCGTGACGAGCGAACGCTTTAACCACTGGACTACCCGACCGCCCGGGTTCATTTGTGAACAGTTTTATACTGTCCCAGCATTGTCCTCTGTACCTCAGATACTGTCTACACCATGCTAGAGGTGACTGTGGTGGTGGCAAGGAAGCAAAATTTGGCGTTTCGCTGGACGTCGGAGCAGAATTTTGCGCTCACTCAACCGGTCTGCCACTACTTGGTCTCTCAAACCAGGAATTGTCCGATCTGTTATTGTGGCAGTTTAGTATCGATTCCGTAGATGCACCAACCGAATATGGTTGTCTTGTTGGCGTGACGTCACACGTGGACGACCGGGCCGTGGCAAGTCATGAGTGTTGCCCTGCTGTAGATCATGTCTCGAAAGAGATAATATTGTGTTTCGATGAACATGATACTGTCCGGCATATCCACGGCGCGTTAACTTTCATCAACCTGTGGCATTTAGCGTTATATACGGCTAAACAAAAGTGTTTTATGAGCACCTGACAGCAAAACGAACGCTGTGCGCTGTTCACATTAAAAAACATCATGAGTAAATATGCTCCCAACAAACGCACGAACATCCAAAGTGTGCGTCGTGCCAGAACCTGCACGTGCAGACTGTGAATCACGACCTTAAAGTCAAGATGTGTTCACGAATAATTATTGAAAGGTGCGTACTAGTATTTAATTTGAGAATAATTTTTTTTTTATTGACCTTTATATGAAGCACAGTTACTTTAGTGGTATATGATATAATTTGGCACCTTGAACTATTCTATTTATTACAGAATCCTAAAAATCATGAATTAAATACGAACAAAGCAGATGTATTTAAATGAAATCATAAAAAACATAGAAAATTATAAATCGTATTTTAATAACAACCGCAATTATCCACGTTCCATGTCTCCAGTGGACTGATATGAAAACATAACGATGGACAATGTACGTGTGATATAGGTGTAGGTTTTTGGGACAAAACGTCGATTTGAACATCAATTCCAGTGGATGACAATAACGAACGCATGATCAGTGTAAGAATTTATCTCACACCCGATACAGTTAACGTGACCAACCATGACATGAGGGACCTTATGGGGGGAAAACATTTTGACCACTTGTTATATTTTAAAACTACAGTGAGTGAGTGTGGTTTTACGCCGCTTTTAGCAATATTCCAGCAATATCACGGCGGGGGACACCTGAAATGGGCTTCACACATTGTACCCATGTCGGGAATCGAACCCGGGTCTTCGGCGTGACGAGCGAACGCTTTAACCACTAGGCTACCCGACCGCCCCTTATAACTACAGACTACTTGGACCACAAAAAAAAAATTTATACCTTCAATTAATATTAATACAGATACATGGCATCATACATTTGGACTCATTTTCTGCTAAGTTCCATCTACAGACTTATACCTGCTTATGTAATGATTGCAGTTTTTAGAGTGTGGGTGAGTGAGTTTGATTTTACGCCGCTTTTAGCAATACTCCAGCAATATCACGGCGGGGGACACCAGAAATGGGCTTCACTCATTGTACCCATATCGGGAATCGAACCCGGGTCTTCGGCGTGACGAGCGAACGCTTTAACCACAAGGCTACCTGACCGCCCCGCAGTTTTTAGAAATAATGTCTGATTAATTGAAAGTAGACATGTATACTGAAATGTTTTGAAATAATGTTTTATTACATTACGAACTAATCAGATATTTTTTGTAGAGTCCGCATACATGGCGATTTATGCTTAAAACTGACCTCAAACGTCTTTTTTATGACGTCACAGCACATTTGTATCCTAGCAACAAAAAGGTCCCTTTTTTCTTATGGTGAGTCACAAATCATGACACAGATCCAAACCTATTTCAGACATCGTGACCTCAGGTATCTGGATGAACCACGCTTTTACTGGCATGCCTTTTTCTGAACCTCAAATATACCACTCAAAATGTATTAGAAACTTCCATCATGAAACAATATTTGTGGGATCAAAATCAAACTTTGCACTGCACCTCTCCTATTAGTGTAGACAGTGTTCATAGTGAAAAGAATCCATGTGCTAGTCCTCAAGTTATAAGTCGCATACAAAAAAGTCCAAAAACAGGTAAAAATTCATATTTTCTCGGAAGATCCACAATTCCCATTTAAAATTTGCATTGCACGTCTTCTTACTGTTTTCGACGTAATAAGCGCCCCGCTCTAATAAGCGCCCACGGCGATAATTGCTAACATATTACCTAGTGAACAATCCCAATTAGCACCCCTTCCGATTGATCAATGTACACAAGACTCGTGTGTTATATGCCCTTTAAATTATGGGCAATTAAATTCTGGAAAAATATATCTGTCGTATATAAACATTTCAGGCTGTCAGCATAAACCACGAAATTTATCCTGTAACTGTCTTTTTCCACCAAAATAATATTCTAAAAAGAGCCCCCTATTTCTTATTTTGAGAGCGCCCTGGGCGCTTATTACGTCGAATACGGTTCTATGAAAATTGTTCCCTAACTTTGAAAATAATCTATGTTGTAATTTTAAAGTAACAACTGTTTAAGTAAGAAAGTCTATGTAAAAAAAAAATTAAATCCAAATATTGAAATTAAATCATCCGCACTCCACCTCTCCTTATGGTATCAAAAGTGTTCACCAAGTTTAAATAGAATCCATGTAGTAGTTTTCAAGTTAGAGATCACACACAAAAATGTCCTCGGAAGGAAGGAAGAACATAATTCCTTGATATAACTTTGTACACCCGCCCTTTTAGGTCGAAGGTTTAATAAGGACTTTACAGGCATTTGAAGTTATGAAATAAATCTAAATTTTCGGTGATTTGTAACTGTTTATCAGTTGCCCCTTATACTTCAAGACCAATGTCGAAAACCTCTCACAGTATGGTAACTGAGGTAAGAGCCGAAGTGAGTGAGTGAGTGAGTATGGTTTTACGCCGCTTTAAGCAATATTCCAGCAATATCACGGCGGGGGACACCAGAAATGGGCTTCACACATTGTACCCATGTCGGGATTCGAACCCGGGTCTTTGGCGTGACGAGTGAACGCTTTAACCACTAGGCTACCCGACCGCCCCTAAGAGCCGAAGTGTACGCAGTGTACGTTTCCCCAAGTTCCAAGTAATTTTGGAGATTCTTTGTAACTGCATACTGGAAACTAGTAATTTGGTCTATTTCAAGAGATCCATCCAGGTACTTCCGATACGACCCTAATTCGGAAAGATTTCTTGTAAGCCCGAGCTGTCCTAGTGATATTTAAATATAAAATATAATTTTGAAATGACAACATGTATTTTATTGTGTAAAAAGTCACACTTCTATTGAAATATGAAATTGATTGTTTAATCACTTATTTGAAACTGTCTCTTTCAATTGTCTCCTCTTCTTCTTCGCAGCACATGCAATGATATGTCATTGGCCAATCATCCACAGGAAATACTCCGACCGCCATCACAGGATCATACCAGTGATGAGTTGCTTCTCAATTATAATGGTCATCTCTAACAAACGTTGAGTAGTATACAATGAAGCTATCATCGTCAAAACTAAGTCCTAAAACTAAAAAAATGACTCACTTACATATTACACAAAATGTGATTGTGCATTGTCAAGCAACAATTGACTATAGACAGTCATAACAATATATATTGAATGATGCATAAAACAGATAACGATACTACCTATCAATATGCTTTACAATATCCATATTATCAGAGGAGGGTTGTCTCCCTTAGTTCTTCAGCATCGGGTTTTCTGTTGCCGCCGTTTAATAAAGATTTATTTTCAGCTGCCTTCCTGCCGCGTATGTGTTTAACAACCAATATCACTTCTTCCATGGGAGCGACTATAACTACAACCGCAGCCATGAGGAAACACCAAATCTGCAGAGTCATTAAGTAAGCGCGGAACTGTGATGACGTCAGAACGTGAAGCGCCGACATGACACTTGGCAGGATAACAATGAATAGTGTCAAACTCACAGCTCCTCCGACATAGGCCGTCAATTTGGCGTTCCTGAAAACAGAGTCTAGTTGTTTAACCGAAGGTCTTGCTCCTTTGAGTGATGGGAAATCCTCCTTAAAATGTTCTCCCCAAGGATTTAGAGGATTATCTATGTCGCGTAATTTCTGCCACTCTGTCATCTCGGCCGTCTCGTCCGAGATCTCGTGTGTTATGAGAGATACTACAATGGTGACGAGAAGTGACACGACAAAGCTGGCGCTAGATCCTGCCACGACGGAGTAGTTTTGAGACGTGTTGACGAGGAAGTTGCTGAGGCCGCCGTCGAAGGTGGATGCGACTGAGAAGAGCGCTGTGAGACCTCCAACCAAACCGGAAAGGGCACCTGCAGTAAGGGAGAAATAGTCTTTTCAAACAGCCACAATGGCGAACCCTTATGCCCTTGATATGATCAGCACACAACAAAGCATTACGTGTGTATGTTTAGCCAGATAAAAAAAATATTCTTCATTCTCGTGATTTTATTTTTAATATAATTACTGTTAGAGAGTGAGTAACAAAGCGCTACGAGCAAACTTGATTTTTGAGTATATTGGTCTCTTATAGCCACGCCACGCGGCTCGAAGTGCAAAGGGGCGGGTCTGTTGCCATGGTGACCACGTCTAGATTTCAATTCGAATCTGAATGTTATTCGAAGAAGTCGTTTCTTTACATTGCTTCAAAGATTACAAAATACGTCTTCACTTGCATCATTTCATGCAACAACTACGACTGTTCCTCCTACAATAACTACGACGGCAGCTACTACAACCTATACTACGACGTCGCTACCCACCTGCAGTGGCTCCTACGGCCGACGTCTTCAGCCACACGATGCTCAGCACGGACCCCGGGAAACAGGGCGTGGTGATAATGAACCCCACCATCATGACCCAGTTCAGATCGAACCCCGCGACGTTCACCAGCAGCCCCAGGGGAATGATGGCAAGCGTTACCCACAAGATGCACCAGCTCTTGAACTGGACCAGAGACTCCTGGTACTTCCGGAACTGACCATGCTGATCACACAGGAACAACCTTTGACCTCCTAGGTTCTTCTTCTCAATATTGTTCTTCTGGTCACGTGCACAGTCACGACAGTCCACGGCTGGGGTGCATTCGCAATACGGTTGCAGCTCGTCCTTTTCACTGGTGGCATTATTTGGTAAGGGTTTCATTTTGCCACACAAAAGACACGTGTTTCTTGTGTGTCCCTTTCTGAAACATAGAGTCAATAAATTTGGTTTCAAGTTTATCTACTAATACTCCAGGAGGAACGGGGGAATCCGTCGTCACTCGTCATGCAAATTTGCGTCCCTTTGTCGTGCCAGGATCCGATGTTTTGGGGGTTTAGATCCACGCGGTGATTTAACTATATTATGTTACATTACGGCGTAAAGAAAACAGCCCCCTCAGTGATAGATATATCAAGGTGGCATGCAGTGACAATCAGACCATGAGCTGAGAAACCGAGGGTCGATATTGTGAGTACCTGGTACGATGTCACACAAATTAACAAGACGCTGCTGAGATTGGACTTCCCTGGGATCATCATTTACAGTTTTGTGCTTCGTGTTGGATACCTCATCTCTAGAACTAGTTCAGGTATAAGATGTGTGTGTGTGTGCGTGTGTGTGTGTGTGTGCGCGCGCGCGCGTGTGTGCGTGCGTGTGTGTGTGTGTGTGTGTGTGTGTGTGTGTGTGTGTGCGCGCGCGTGCGTGTGTGTGTGTTGTGCTATAGTTATATGTTTCCAATCAAGACTATATTTACATATTTACGCTATATACCGAATAAACATCAAATCAATTTAAATATTTTTTAATATTTTACTATTATACTTGCGCAGGCTACTTATACAAAATATAGCTTGTTGTCACATATATATCATTTAAGGTGTAATTCTGAAGAAACATATTAGTACTGAACACATGCTAGACATATCTTCTTTCAGTGGCATTTAGAAGTTGGTGTGATGAAGTAAGACGAGTTCTATGGATGAACAACTTCTTTATTACAATTAGTGCGACGTTTCGGTGTAGATCCTAACACCTTTATCAAGCTTGATAAAGGTGTTAGGATCTACACCGAAACGTCAAGCTTGATAAAGGTGTTAGGATCTACACCGAAACGTCGCACTAATTGTAATAAAGAAGTTGTTCATCCATAGAACTCGTCTTACTACATGCTAGACATGTTTAGATCTAAACATTTTTGTGTTTAGTTCCTATAACCGGAATAACTGTTTTGCGTGTTTCATTTTAAACACATATGGCATCTAAATACACGAAATTGAAACTACATGCATACGCACAAGACTCCCCTAAAATTTAAACGTTGAAAATATACTACTCAAAAGAAGTTAAGGATCACCTGATTCTTTCATATTACTATAGTTAATCTATCATGACATGACATTAACTTTACCATTATGAAAGAATCGGGTGATCCTTAACTTCTTTTGAGTAGTATAAATGAGTGAGAGAACAATTTTAACGCCCTTTGAATAGTATGCGTGCGTCCGCGCATATTCCTGAATTTTTTGTATTTCACATGTGGACGTCAAAATAGTATAACGGTACTACACATGTATTCTTGAAAATCACAATGGTGAACCCGTTAGAGTAATGGACAGAGATCATATTTGGACTATTGTATGTTATGTTTCTATATTCATCATTAATATTGTGTGTAAATATGTAAGACTGTATGGATATAAAAATCATAAATAATATATCACTCACTCAAACTCTCTACATTTCAGGAGGTACAAAGCAAGACACGCCGCAACCAAAGTGACAAAAAAAATAATGTTCCTGTAATTTTCCTGTAATGTATATTAGAAAAATACGCCTGTTTGACTAAACAAAGCACGTAAGGTACGAATGGCGCCCGATATTGTATGGTTAGCATGCCTGGCCACGTCTCATCTCGCAACTCAACAGCCTAGCTGTCTCACCACCTGATGCCCATCCTATTAAGGCTCCACTGTAACAACACTTAGCAGCTGGTCAGATTCACAGCAAGACTGGACAGTCGCCAGCCAAATAATGACCAAGAGCCCCTAGTTAGTTATGGGCCACTAAGCCGGTGTCGTTGGTACGGCTACCTAATGACACAGGGTATATATTACCTTCATTACTACAGTCTGCTCATTTCCAAATGAATTTGGTTAGTAGGTAGAGGTGAACGGTGAATTATTTTACTATAGAGGTCACTGACAGATTGAAGGAACACGATCGCGGTGCACTGGACATTTTTTGGTTAAATGGGGGGGGGGGGGGGGGGGGGGGGGGGGTTTGTACCCGGGTAGTAAATTTTGACGCGTCCCAGCCCTACTAGGATTGGTATTTTAAGTTGGCAAAGCATTGTTTTGTTTATTCGGATCGCTTTTACGCCGCATGTCATAACGCAATCAGTAACAAGGACAAAAGTTAAGATTCACGTTAAAAGATGGTACTTGTCGTTACCCTGCATAGCTCTCGGATAAGATAGATAACACAAGGACTGGTCTTCATGGAGTCAGCATACGGAGTGGGGTATTCATGTTAAACTGCGGCAAGGTAAGCACTATAAAATCGGCATTAGTCCAGACTAGTACACGCACACGCACACGCACACGCACACGCACGCACGCACGCACTCACTCACTCACACACACACACACACACACACGTCACTATAAATCCAACAATGTTGGACGCGACGTTAACACCATTTCACCTCACCTCACCTCACCTAACCTCACCTCTGTAAAACCACAAGGTTTATGGAACTTAAATCAATCATACCAATTACGTACCAATCTCCAAATATCTCTAAGTTTGATTAATTAATGTCATCTGTAAATATCACCATATTAACTTCATTAACAACTTATAGATTTTTGATTTTTTATCAATATTGAATTGGGACGTTTAAGAAATAAATATTTTCTTGTTTGATTCATTAGATTTGTCTAACATAGACTTATTTTAAAGATACATTATAAACATCCTCGTTAATGCAATTATATTCCACAGCTATGTCTGCCATGGATAAATTGGTCGTCAACAACATTATATATACCCCTTTAGCTTCCCAAAGTGACGTGTGCTTCAAACCAAGAAGTTATTGATTTTCAGATAATAAATTCACCAAGTCCTCATTTATACGTGGATAATATTCAGTAGGAAGCCTCGAGCACAATTACCACAGGTTGTAGCAGGTGGGAATGCGACCTTCCGCACTAGTGAAGAACTCAACGCTTATTCTCTTCCAATTTGTCTTTATAACGGTCCTATTCTCGGTGACTGTAACGCCACAATCATTATTCCAGCTATACAGGGGAGGCCGGTAAATAAATGAATCTGAAACCGAAACCGAATCCAATTTGTTTGTTTGTTTGTTTGTTTGTCTCTTTGTTTGTTTGTTGTTTTAAGTCGCTCTCAGCAATATTCCAGCTATATGATGGCGGTCTGTTAATAATCCGAGTCTGGACCAGACAATCCAGTGATTGACATCATGAGCATCGATCCACGCAATTGGGTTACGATGACATGCATCAACCAAGTAAGCGAACCTGACCACCCGATCCCGTTAGTCGCCTCTTACGACAAGCATAGTCGCCTGTTACAGCCAACATGGGTTGCTGAAGACCTATTCTAACCATCCACGATGGCACTAGACCATACTACCAAAATGTCACTCGGCTCTCGTGACAAGCATTAGATGCTGCATATGAGTTCTACCCTGGTATCTGCACGGGTGTTCTGAGTATTTATCTATGGTTGTGTGAGTGAGCCTTTTACGTTATGTCTGAAATTCTTTGGTTAAAATAGTTTAAAAAGTGAGCAAGAACAAACTCCACCAACAACTACATCATAGTTGCCATCACGCACACCCTACTTCCGCTGCCGCGTCCATCACTCACCACCTACATCCACATTCCGACAACCTCACATCACTCTCCACCGGTATCCTCCACATCCATCCCACCAACATCCGCATCCCCCATATCCACACCCCACATCTATCTCCACCAACATAACTCCACATCCATCCACATCCACACCCATCCTGACCCACATCCACACATCCATCCCGACCCACATCCCCACATCCATCCTCACCCACATCCACACATCCATCCTGACCCACATCCACACATCCATTCCGACCCACATCCGCATCCACACATCCATCCACACCCACACATCCATCCTTACCCACATCCACACATCCATTCTGACCCACATCCACACATCCATCCCGACCAACATCCATCCACACCCACATCCACATCCACATCAACACATCCGTCCTGATCCACATCCACACATCCATCCACACCAACATCAACACATTCATCCTGACCCACATCCACACATCCATCCTGATCCACATCCACACATCCATCCTGATCCACATCCACACATCCATCCTCACCCACATCAACACATCCATCCTGACCCACATCCACACATCCATCCCCACCCACATCCGTACATCCATCCCGACCAACATCCACACATCCATCCTGACCCACATCAACACATCCATCCTGACCCACATCCACACATCCATCCCGACCGACATCCACACATCCATCCTGACCCACATCAACACATCCATCCTGATCCACATCCACACATCCATCCACACCAACATCAACACATTCATCCTGACCCACATCCACACATTCATCCTGATCCACATCCACACATCCATCCTCACCCACATCCACACATCCATCCTGACCCACATCAACACATCCATCCTGACCCACATCCACACATCCATCCCGACCGACATCCACACATCCATCCTGACCCACATCAACACATCCATCCTGATCCACATCCACACATCCATCCACACCAACATCAACACATTCATCCTGATCCACATCCACACATCCATCCTGATCCACATCCACACATCCATCCTGATCCACATCCACACATCCATCCTGACCCACATCCACACATCCATCCTGACCCACATCCACACATCCATCCTGATCCACATCCACACATTCATCCTGATCCACATCCACACATCCATCCTGATCCACATCCACACATCCATCCTGATCCACATCCACACATCCATCCTGACCCACATCCACACATCCATCCTGACCCACATCCACACATCCATCCTGATCCACATCCACACATCCATCCTGATCCACATCCACACATCCATCCTGATCCACATCCACACATCCATCCTGATCCACATCCACACATCCATCCTGACCCACATCCACACATCCATCCTGATCCACATCCACACATTCATCCTGATCCACATCCACACATCCATCCTGATCCACATCCACACATCCATCCCGACCGACATCCACACATTCATCCTGACCCACATCCACACATCCATCCTCACCGACATCCACACATCCATCCTGACCCACATCCACACATTCATCCTGACCCACATCCACACATCCATCCTCACCCACATCCACACATCCATCCCCACCCACATCCGTACATCCATCCCGACCCACATCCACACATCCATCCACACCAACATCAACACATTCATCCTGACCCACATCCACACATTCATCCTGATCCACATCCACACATCCATCCTGACCCACATCCACACATCCATCCTGACCCACATCCACACATCCATCCTGACCCACATCCACACATCCATCCTGACCAACATCCATCCACATCCACATCCACATCCACACATCCATCCACACCCACACATCCACACATTCATCCTGACCCACATCCACACATCCATCCTGACCCACATCCACACATCCATCCTGACCCACATCCACACATTCATCCTGACCCATATCCACACATCCATCCTCACCCACATCAACACATCCATCCCCACCAACATCCACACATCCATCCTGACCAACATCCTCACATCCATCCTGATCCACATCCACACATCCATCCTCACCCACATCCACACATCCAACCTGATCCACATCCGCACATCTATCCCCACCCACATCCACACATCCATCCCCACCCACATCCGTACATCCATCCCGACCAACATCCACACATCCATCCTCACCCACATCCACACATCCAACCTGATCCACATCCGCACATCCATCCCCACCCACATCCACACATCCATCCCCACCCACATCCACACATCCATCCCGACCAACATCCACACATCCATCCTGATCCACATCCACACATCCATCCTGACCCACATCCACACATCCATCCACACCAACATCAACACATTCATCCTGACCCACATCCACACATCCATCCACACACATATCCACACATCCATCCACACCCACATCCACACATCCATCCTGATCCACATCCACACATCCATCCCCACCCACATCCGTACATCCATCCCGACCAACATCCACACATTCATCCTGACCCACATCCACACATTCATCCTGACCCACATCCACACATCCATCCTGACCAACATCCATCCACATCCACATCCACATCCACACATCCATCCCGACCGACATCCACACATTCATCCTGACCCACATCCACACATCCATCCTCACCAACATCCACACATCCATCCTGATCCACATCCACACATCCATCCTGATCCACATCCACACATCCATCCTGACCCACATCCACACATTCATCCTGACCCATATCCACACATCCATCCTCACCCACATCAACACATCCATCCCCACCAACATCCACACATCCATCCTGACCAACATCCTCACATCCATCCTGATCCACATCCACACATCCATCCTCACCCACATCCACACATCCAACCTGATCCACATCCGCACATCTATCCCCACCCACATCCACACATCCATCCCCACCCACATCCGTACATCCATCCCGACCAACATCCACACATCCATCCTCACCCACATCCACACATCCAACCTGATCCACATCCGCACATCCATCCCCACCCACATCCACACATCCATCCCCACCCACATCCACACATCCATCCCGACCAACATCCACACATCCATCCTGATCCACATCCACACATCCATCCTGACCCACATCCACACATCCATCCACACCAACATCAACACATTCATCCTGACCCACATCCACACATCCATCCACACACATATCCACACATCCATCCACACCCACATCCACACATCCATCCTGATCCACATCCACACATCCATCCTGACCCACATCCACACATCCATCCACACCCACATCAACACATCCATCCCCACCCACATCCGTACATCCATCCCGACCAACATCCACACATCCATCCTGACCCACATCAACACATCCATCCTGACCCACATCCACACATCCATCCCGACCCACATCCACACATCCATCCTCACCCACATCCACACATCCATCCTCACCCACATCCACACATCAATCCTCACCCACATCCACACATCCATCCTCACCCACATCCACACATCAATCCTCACCCACATCCACACATCCATCCCGACCGACATCCACACATCCATCCTGATCCACATCCACACATCCATCCTCACCCACATCCACACATCCATCCTCACCCACATCCACACATCCATCCCGACCGACATCCACACATCCATCCCGACCCACATCCACACATCCACACATCCATCCTCACCCACATCCACACATCCATCCCGACCCACATCCACACATCCATCCCGACCCACATCCACACATCCATCCTCACCCACATCCACACATCCATCCTCACCCACATCCACACATCAATCCTCACCCACATCCACACATCCATCCTCACCCACATCCACACATCAATCCTCACCCACATCCACACATCCATCCCGACCGACATCCACACATCCATCCTGATCCACATCCACACATCCATCCTCACCCACATCCACACATCCATCCCCACCCACATCCGTACATCCATCCCGACCAACATCCACACATCCATCCCGACCCACATCCACACATCCATCCTCACCCACATCCACACATCCATCCTCACCCACATCCACACATCAATCCTCACCTACATCCACACATCCATCCACACCCACATCCCCACATCAATCCTCACCTACATTCACACATCCATTCTGATCCACATCCACACATCCATCCTCACCCACATCAACACATCCATCCTGACCCACATCAACACATCCATCCACACCCACATCCACACATCCATACTGACCAACATCCCCATCCACCCCCGAATTCACATCCACATTCACACTCACACCCACACCCACACCCACACCCACACCCACACCCACACCCACACCCACACATCCATCCTGACCCACGTCCACATCTGCGCATGAAAACACTGTACGAACCACAACAGAGTAATCTCAACGCAGGCGAGAAAAATAGGCGTTGGCATATTATTTTATGAACGCTTCCGTCAGCAGAAAGTACAATCACGCGAAGAGACATCTTGCCGGTCTTATGACAACATTGTCGAAAGACATTACAGTCCATCTCGTCGTCGGATACGTTGGGAGTGGTAAATGTCTTATAGTATGATTATATCAAAGTATGAAAAAACATCAACTTCTTCGGATTCTCACTTACACTGTGGGTATCGAGTGCTAAAACACATTCATTAAACACGTGATCACGCCATTCCTTAATCTACATTTGACCACGTACTGTAACTCTTACTTCTTGCAACAACAACCACATCAACAATCACATCGACAACCAGAACCCTGAAACTAGCCACAACACCAGTCACAGCCACACATCGAAACACAGCCAGTCATCCGCAGCCGCAGCCACAACCCCACTTCGTAACAGCCAGTCATCCGCAGCCACAACCACACATCGACACACAGCCAGTCACCCGCAGTCACAGCCACACATCGACACACAGCCAGTCACCCGCAGTCACAGCCACACATCGACACACAGCCAGTCACCAGCAGTCACAGCCACACATCGAAACACAGCCAGTCACCCGCAGTCACAGCCACACATCGACACACAGCCAGTCACCCGCAGTCACAGCCACAACAAACAGGCTTCAACACACAATCCCAGCCACAGTTCACTCAAACCATAATCAGAATTCAAATCGTGTCCCAAATGCAACAGCCCAAACCCCAAATCCAAGCTAGCTTGGTAATCATTATCATATGCCTGATCAAATCCTTAATGCCCTAAGTTCCCTCTGGTATATGCGCTGACCATATACATGTACCTAAATCCGAACACCGTAAACCCAAATCTCAACCTTCATAGACACGTTCTGACACCAAACCCCCAAATCTGATATCAAGCCCAAGCCCCTATCCTCAATGCCAACTACCCCACTCGCTACCCTCTTCCATATTTCACTCTCACCCTCAACAACGACAACGCCACCCCACACATCAAATCATCATCCATCCTCTCTACAGCCATCTTCTCCGTGCTTCTGTACCTGTAGGGGTTGATGTGGGTCTGATAGATGTCATAAACGATGATCGACGACACCGCCATCACCTCGCCCGACCCCGTCGACATTAAGGCCATCGTCAGCATCGTTAACACCATGACTCCGCCGCCATAACCCAGGGCTTGCTGTGCGATAAACGGCGTCACCAGACCTACAACATCGGCCAGGGTTATATCCAGGATGACGGACAACACATTATTGACTGAAATCTCGAGAAGGGGGAATAAAGCTGCAATAATTCAAAACATAGAAATGAGATTTATCCTTGTTCGTCGCAATGTGATAAGGGTTATGGCACGAAAGCATTAAATTGGGTTGAACCCAACGATCTTTCTGTGACATAACACGTCTATTCCAGTCAAATGCGTGATTTCCTCAACTATTCATAGAATAGTTCGTCATAATTCCTACCATGGTTAAAGAATCGTCTGTATATTTTCAGTTCGATCTATTTTCGAAGTTTCCAGTATTACAATTTAAAATATTTTTCCCAATTTCACTCAGTAAACACTGCATCGAAGTAGTTATGAGTTGACTATTAAGTCAAAGCTATATTTTAACATAGTAATAACAGCAGTTATTCGGCGTCGGACTTAAATCAAAAGAAGAATTACTTTCCAAATCGAAACGGAGCCTTTAGTAAGTCTAGACACTTCATCATACAGCCGTGGTCTAGCAACAAGTTTAGCTTCAATTAATTCAGAAAACGTTATGTCGTGTTTCGGTAGGGCAGGACATGCAGACCCGTGACGATCCGGGGTAGAACAGGTCTTCAGCAACCCATGCTTGCCGTAAGCGGCGACTATGCTTATAAGAGGCGACTAACGGGATCGGGTGGTCAGGCTCGCTGACTTGGTTGACGCATGTCATCGTATCCCAAATGGGAGGATCGATGCTCATGATGTCAATCACTGGATTGTCTAGTCCACACTCGATTATTTACAGATCCTCGTCATATAGTTGGACTATTTTGAGTGCGGCGTTTAACAAACGAACGAATCAATTTTGTGCACTAAAAGGAGGCGTCGATAGTGTTAGACTTGCGAAAGGTTTCGATTAACAGAACAATGCTCCTTTTTGTCAAATCCTAGCTAGTGCCTGCTGTTACAGATACAGTAATCTACGGTTATAACGAACACGCTTATAACGAACTGGCGGATATAACGAACTTACTTTTTAGTCCCGACTATTTGCTGTGGTTATGCTGTATATATGCTTATAACGAACTACGGTTATAACGAACTAAAAATAGTAGTCCCTTTGAGATCGTTATAACCGTAGTTTACTGTATTATAAAAGAGACTATATTTTAGAAACATCCCCACTGTATACCTGCATCAATGACGGAGGAGGGTAGGGCGAATGATGAGTTTGAGGAGCTGAGAGCGAGGTAGGCGAGACCAGTGCTTGTTCCAATAGAAGAAGGGATGGCGAACCAGATGTACGTTGCGGCGAAGAACCCCAACACGCCTTGCACTGGCTTGGCAGCAATACGACTTTGCCAAGACGCCTGGTCACAAAAGGTCAAGGATGACGTAGCGAACACGCCTTGGATACCCCATATGATAGCTCCTTCTGACCAGAACGTTAGGTAACTGCGGCCCTCGTTGCCAGCAGGTCCTTCCTGACAGGAGACCTGTTTAAATATGGCCTCCATGCTACCAAGAAGTCTCGTGTCGCCAGCATTCTCAAGGTAGAATATGTTGATGATGAAGAATACAAGGATGATGAAGATGAGCACAGCGTTGAAGTAGGAGACGTAGAAGGTCGTCCCAAGGCCCCCGACGAAGGAGTAGCTACCAAAGAGGGTTGCCATGAGAAGGACGCAGAATTCCGGAGAGGCATTATTTATCATGGACTGAAAGGTGGCGATGCCAGCCACCATTAGGCACACCATCACCACGAAGTTTGTCAGTAGTGCGAAGAAGCAATACACAATGTGGGCTCGCTTCCCGAACCGAGCGTTGATAATCTGAAAGTAGGATATGGAATATCAGTAGCTATATTAATCTTAGATTATTATTTCACGATAAAACATTGTTCTATCATCACGTCATTTCTGGAGATGTGCTCGACACTTGATGACGTCGTTAATTGGACGACGTTATTTTTTAGAGGGAAGTGTCAAGTGAGTTAATCCCCATATAGGTAGCTGGGCATGGCCGAACGATCGAGTTCAAAGAGGGAGAGATATGGCAATCGGTATTGGGACAAAAGGTAGAGATAGTCGAAGTAAGAATTGTGAGAATATTAGGGAAACATCATAAAAGAGGCTGTACATAATGTTGATATCCCATATAAGAAATAAACGACTCGTGGTCGTTGTTTATCGTACAATAAAACACTGCAGGGAAATACACCACTCTGGGCTGCGCCTTTCATGGTTTATTCTCCCTTCTGCGCACCTCATGGTTTATTCTCCCTGCAGGGTTTATTGTACGATAAACAACTCCCACCCGTTTTTATTTCTTAAATATAGAGACGTTATACTGTCATCGTATGAAAAACCTTATTCCTGCATGAAGGCATTTCACTAAAATATGTGTGCGTTATTTTAATAGTGTTTACCTGAAGGAATGTTTTCGCTCCTGGAGCCCTTGTCTTGAAATGGACAGAGAGCACGGGAAACAGGATCATGTTGGTGACCGCACCCACGGAATACCAGAAGGTGCCAGCAATACCATTCTGTAAATACCAACGTGGTCTTATAACGACTTAAACCTGAAATTCTTTCAGGGAAGGAAATACACAATATTAAAAGTTCTAATTGTAACTAAGTGAATACGAAGAGAATGGTTTCCTTGCAGCTATCATTGTGTTGGTGTTGTTTTAGTTGACAGTCTGTTAGTACTAGTATATACGTTCGGCCCTTTGATGAAAAGAAGTAGAAAACAGATCAGGTGACAATCCTCACACGCCTGTTTACCTGCGGATTAATGTCATGAAACCGATTCATGCGCGTTGGTTCGTGTCTGCTCTTGACAAGCTTGTAAAGGACACTGATGGGATAATTCGTGGCTGGCGCCAATCTGGGCTGCTTGACAGGATGTGAACTGACCACTACTCAACTTCACTTTGTGTAGGTGACTTTGTTATTTTGTCTAGTAATTTATTTATCTATTACCTTTGTGACTGATTGTTGTCAGTGGCTGCTATCAACTTGTAATGATCTGATATCATTGTTTTTGATGTAATACTAGTAAATAATACTGAAGTGATTTATTTCGTTTGTTGATTGTTTCCTTATTTTGATGGTACAAAATTAATGCGCATAAAATTAATACGACTTTCAGTCACTCGCATTTTTCGCATTAATATTCTGCTCGCATTAATTTCCTGTTTTACAGTACTCTTCAGAAGTAAGTTGAGGATCATGTAATATAAATGTTAATACCAAGTATTAGAACAAAAATAAGTGTTGATGGCAAACATCCAATGCAAGTAGGTATATGTCTGTGAAACGTAACATCAACACACATCTTATAGTTTGCACGTACCTCACGGAGTAGCGCCACACACGTGCATTGGGTGTCATTCCTTTTGAGACTTTCAAGGAAGGTAGATTTATCTCTGTGGATCATTATATCTTTCTATCTTATTGATTCTGTTTATCTGTCATACAGTTGTGATTTATTACTTGAATTAATCCATTACTTGTGCATGAACCAGAGACGCGGCGTCTGCAACGCGCGGAGCTTCTACGGGCTATGCGTGCGGGAAACTGGCAGACGTCAGCGTGTAGAGGCCAATACGTTCAATGTGTTACAATCTGTAATTAACAGACTATGGAACAGGTACCAGCATGTTGACGATCGGCCCCATTCAGGGAGTCCCAGGTCAACGGAACGAGTACAGGATCGAGCGATCCGAAACAAGGCCCTACGATGCGGGAAAACGTCTACAGCTCATCTCAATGGTCTACGACCACGTGTTGTGCCGCCCCTTACACAACGTCATACTGCCAACATAAGTCAATGGTGTACACAGCGTCAAAACTGGGTAATCATCGCTGGTCACGTGTCATGTATTCAGATAAGGCCCGATTCACTTTGCACCTCATTGACAGTGGTCAGGTCTGGCGACGTCGAAATGAACGTCAACCTGAGACCTCATGACAGATATGGCGGTACATCGGTTATAGTGTGTGGTGGCATCACTATGACTGACCGAACCCTACTCCATATTGTGCAAGGAAGGGTCACTGGACAGTACTATCGGGAAGATATACTGGCACCCTTTGTTGTCCCGTGTGCAAGGCGTCTGGGTCGACGTGTTGACGTTCAGGACGACAACGCCCGTGTCCACCGTGCACGAATCGCCAACCCCCAGCAGCACAACATCCCTCGAATGCCATGGCCAACAATGAGCATAGACCTTTCCCTATTACGCCCTATTCCCTAATACGCCTGGGACGTGATAGGGAGACGTGTACGTCAACGTCATATGCCACCGACCACGTTGGCTAAACGTGGCCAGGCGCTGTCAGAGGAGTGGGACAGACCCCCTCAAATCGCCTTTCGGAGGTATGCCTCGTCCAGTGAATGAACGTTTGACAAATCGTGGCGGTATTACTCAACACTGATCCAAAAACGTCAACTTTGAACTTTCCCATCTTACCCCTATCGTCCTCCAAGAGCGATGGCCGTTATAACATCAACTGTTATACGTCACTACCGGGTGGAACGCGTTCCCAATTCCTTCATTATTATCATTCAACATGTACTAGAAACTAGCATCTCTTACAATTTTGTAAATTTTAAGTTACTTCCCAGCATCCCTAATTTTTTTAAGAGTATATAAATAAAGGGAGAAATGTAATTCAAAATCCATTGAGCAATTGTATTCAGATTAGTTCCATATAAGGTCCTTATGGATGCCTTAAGTCGTATTATGTTAAAGAGGAATGAGTGAGTTTGCTTTAATAATGTTATAACTGTCAGTCACATCATGGTGGGATGTGTGTGTGGGAGGGGGGTGGGGGTTGGTTGGTTGGTTGGTTTGTTGTTTTACGCCGCACTCAGCAATATTCCAGCTATATGACGGCGGTCTGTAAATAATCGAGTCTGGACCAGACAATCCAGTGATTAATATCATGAGCATCGATCCACGCAATTGGGATCGATGACATGCATCAACCAAGTCAGCGAGCCTGACCACCCGATCCCGTTAGTCGCCTTTTACGACAAGCATAGTCGCCTTTTACGGCAAGCATGGGTTGCTGAAGACCTATTCTACCCCGGAATGGGGGGTGGGGAAGGGAAGCCCGAAGTGATGAAGGTCTGAGACGTGTACCACCCACGTGCACGTCCTCGTGGTACTACAGAAGCTTTTTCCAGCTGCATCCCCTTCTTATCACCAAATATCCTGTATATAAACCTCTCTTCACTTGGTTGTAGTCACTTTAGCCTGATAACGGTGTAAGAATCTACATCGAAACGTCGCTATATGCAATAAATCAGAAGTTAAAGTTGTATGTTTTCTTATAAACGTGAACAAGTATATCAAAGTCGTAACGCCTAGACTCACACCCTGATAAGCATTAAGTGGGGTAAGGTAAAATGGCGTCCAAGATAATCCGTATATAGCGGCGTGCATGCACGTGTGGTTTGGGCTGCTTGTACAAGCCCACTGAGATACCATGCCGCACTTTAACATGAATACCCCACTCAGACATACTGACCCCGAGCCGACCAGTCCTTGTTTAGCCCCTTAATTCGGAACGCCAGACGGGGTAACAACAAGTGCCATCTTTCAACGTCTTTTGGTATGACGCGGCCGAGGATCGAACCCCGGACCTTCCGCTCTCTGGGCTGACGCTCTACCATTAGACCACGGAGGCAATTGAAGCATATAAGTGATTACTGATGAACACTTACCTTGATGGCTACAGTGGTGCTCTGTAATAAGTCACCAGGCCACAGAAGCTGCGAGGCTACAGTGACGGCCGTCAAACTCATGCTGACTTTCCCACCAGCGTCGAACGTCGTGTCGAGGTTGTCGGCGTCGTGAAAGACATACTTTCTGATGGCGTTGTAGAGGAGAGCCAGGAGGATGGAGAATCCCCCGAAGCCAAGCAACAGCAACAGTGCGGCCTCGTGTTTGGCCATGATGGTGGTCAGAGACCTGAAAGATGAGAGAGTTAGATTTGATGTGAAAGGAAAATCTCTAAGTCTTGTTTTGTTTGTTTGTTTGTTGTTTAACGCCGCGCTCAGCAAAACTCCTGCTATGTGACGACAGTCTGTAAATATTCCAGTCTGGACCAGACAATCCAGTGACTGACATCAGGAGCATCGATCCATGCGACTGGGATATGAAGACATGCATCAATCAGGTCAGCGAGCCTGACCACCCGATCCTGTTAGTCGCCTCTTACCACAAGCATAGTCGCCTGTTACGGTGGTGAGGTGAGGTGAAATGGGGTTTAACGTCGCGTCCAAGATTATTGCACTTATATAGCGACGTGCATGCACGTGTGTGTGTGTGGCTGCTTGTACTAGTCCGTACTGATGCCGATTTATAGTGCTAGCTCACTGAGATACCATGCCGCAGTTTAACAAGAATACCCCACTCAGACACAGTATACTGACTCCGAGCCGACCAGTCCTTGTTTTAGCCCCTTAATGCCGAGCGCCAGACATGGTAACAACAAGTACCATCTTTAAACGTCTTTTGGTATGACGCGATCGGGGATCGAACCCCGGACATTCCGCTCCCCGGGGGGACGCTCTACCACTAGACCACGGAGGCGGTCCCGCCTGTTACGACAAGCATGGGCTGCTGCAAACCTATTCTACCCCGGATCTTCATGGGTTGAAATCTGAGGGTGATGGGGGAGGACGCCATGCATGTGTAGCAGGGTGGAGTCATAGAACAGATGGTACTCTTTTCCTGTCAGCTTGCTGACAGGGTCAACCTCTGGGCAAGGCGTCAGAAGGTCCATGGTTCGAATCCCATCACAGGACTCGGAAATTGGACCTACACATGCACGTCGTAGACGTTGACCAATTTGGTGAAACCAAATAGCAATGATATTGTGCTGATAAATTAAGGGTATTTGAAGGAGCTATTCTGGAATAGACAAGAGGTTCCTTGCATCAAACTAAGATTGACGTTCAGGATATAGAAATAGACCACAAACAAAAGATGGAGGTTCCACGGTGGCATTGTTTTTTTCATAGAAAGCCCGTCTAGGCAACTTATGGTGGCACCTAACATTTCAAGGTCACGTCCAACGTTGTTTACAGGTCAGTGGTAAACCGGAGGTTTGTATACGTAGTATTAGCATCGACTCAGGCTGAGAAGAGATCTCCCATGCGCTACATGCTTCCAAGTCATACTGCATGTAGTATTGATCGTATGGAAGTCCACGGTAGCACTTAGCACTGCGCCGGTCTACAACATTTATATGGGGGCCACGGGTGGCCCAGTCGTCTAAGACACACACACACACACACACACACACACACACACACACACACACACACACATGTGTACCACATAATAACAAAACTGACTTTCAATCAAGTGTTACCACGCCGCTTATAACAGTATTCCAGTTATATCACGACGTGTCAGCTTAATGTGGGAGGATAACCCGAAGTGATGCAGGTATTAGACGTTTACCACTTCGGTGAAACCCACGAGCACGGGTATGGTGCTGACAAACCTAGAAACATAATCGGGGCGAACCGGGATTTGAACCCACAATCATAGGTTTCTGGCGTGCCCAAGGGACGCAACTCTGCACAGCGAATCGCGGCGCCTTAGACAACTGGGCCAGGTGAATGTTTCAGGTGAATAGAAAAGTGACGATGAAATTATGTGAACTTTTTTTATTGTACTTTTTATCATATGGATCATATCAATTCATCCACATAGTGACTTTATTCTTATCACGATATGCTTCAGCTGGTTTCCAGACTTTACACGCTAATCCTGCACGAGACAAATGATGCCTCTCGAGTCATGGACCTATGACGTCACAAGTATATTCGTCTGTGCCCATCTAATATCTCCTGAATATGAGTAAGTCTTCATATATTAACCAACATGTATCGTATTCGCGTTTCTTTTGGCGGTGAGTATATATGACGTCAACGTTGAACTAAACAAGAGGATGATACTACAAATTCAAATACCAATGTCAGATGAGTATCTCTACCACATAGGACCCGTGAAGATCCGGGTTAGAAAAGGTCTTCAGCAACCCATGCTTGCCATAAAAGGTGACTTTGCTTGTCGTAAAAGGCGACTAACGGGATCGGGTGGTCAGGCTCGCTGACTTGGTTGATGCATATCATCTATCCCAATTGCGCGGATCGATGCTCATGATATCAGTCACTGGATTGTCTGGTCCAGACTCGATTATTTACAGACCATATAAGGGGAATATTGCGGAGTGCGGCGTTAAACAACAAACCAAACCAAAACACTCTACCACATAGTGAGTAAATGAGATGGGTTTTAAGCAGTTAATAGTCATTTTTCCAGGAATATCGAGGCGGGGGACACAAGAAACGGGCTTTTACACATTGTACCCATGTGGGTCATTAAGCCCGGACCTTCATATATGACAGCAGGTTCGTCTTACATCACCATCCAAAAGCTGTTTAGTTATTCTGTACTTCTAAATAACGAAAAACAAACCAGCACCGAGTCGTTATTCAGACTTGGTATAACAAATATAAGATACCGTATTTCCAGTGGGTTCGTTATTCGTTTTTCGAATAACAAAAAACAAGCCAGCACCGGGTTCGTTATTCAAAGGCTGTATATTAAACAACTACAAGAGTGTGTTCAAATACCGGGTTCGTTATTTAGTTTATGTCCAACAATTCTATTAAATATAAGATAGTCTATGGTCAATCTCCCAACAACTGTTTAGTTATTCAGTACTTTTGAATAAGGAAAACAAACCAATACCGGGTTCGTTATTCAGTTCATGTCGAAGAAAATATATAAATAAATGGAATAAAGAATCTGCTACTTTTATTTATGTACTTATTTACAATAAAGACTTAAATTGTGGGATAACCTTTGCAGAAGTAGCCCTCATTAAATATTGGCTGTATTTTAGGACAAATAAACATAGGAAAATTTAATTGTACAATGAGTGTGGCCTCTGCTCGTAGACCCTGCCACTGTATCGCTTTCTTCAACCACACCACCTATATCCGTTCCCACAGAAGAAAAATGTTTCAGGTCAGCGTCCATCATCACCCACTATAGAACAGTCTTACAATGTATCTATGTTTTCATAAATTACATGACTGGTCAGTAAATGGTGATGACATAGCACACAACTGCAGTAAGATGTCTTACTACTCTCCGAATGTCTGAAACTATGACATTAGATTTGTTTGGGTTTGTAACTTTGATCTAGAATGGATCCCATGATTGTATTCATCATATAGGTGAAACGTTAAACTCACGTTTGTTTGCACAGTTCTAGACAACCACTTGCATAGTGTAGTTAACTTAGATTATAGTTCAGTAGAGTTCAAGACTTCAGTAAACATTAGTGTAAGCAGTCTGTGTAGATACATTGCCATTTAGTATTATACCAGTCAGATGGATCAGTTTTGTATTGTGACGTATATAACTTTCTGTCCACAGCAAATTTACCTATAAAATGAACATAACTGCTATCTGGCGAAAGACTTTTTATAGAAAATACTGTCTGGGTAACTCACTACATGTAACTGTAATGAAAATTATCATAAAAGAGTGTAAGTAGTAGTGTAACCCTTTCCTACAAATAAAGTGAATACAGTTTGATCTATTCCCTTTTAGTTCGTTATTATTCATCCATAAACTGCCGGAAAGAATCCGACTGAATAGTGTTTTGACAAAAGATGAGTGGTGCTGTTTAGACAGCCCTTAGTAACTAAAAACTGCTTGAACATAGATTAGACCACCTCACATTGGTCAATTTGTTGGACATGAACTGAAAACTAAAATGCTGCAGTTTAGTTTTTCGTTATTCAAAAGTACTGAAAAACTAAACAGCTTTTGGACATTGTAAGACGAAAATATTAAATGAGTTTCAGTGTATTTGACCACAATACTGTAGTTGTTTAATATACAGCCTTTGAATAACGAACCCGGTGCTGGCTTGTTTTTCGTTATTCGAAAAACGAATAACGAACCCGCTGCTAACTTCAGGCCCCTCTTTTAATCTACGTTTTGCAGAAGGGAACAATCAAATATTTGATGACAAGGTAACCTGAAGTTTTGTATACACAATGCCATTTAGAAAGTGGTCAAATGTAATAAATGTAATATTTGGGATAACACTTTCTTAGTTAAGTACAGATTCTCGTACTTTTTGGGGTTCAGTCCCGGGATTCGAACCCATACTGCCAGAGTGAGGCACCTAATCGCCAGCACAAAAATCGGACGGGACTCAACCCCCCTAAAAGTACGAGAATCTGTACTTTACTAAGAAAGTGTTGTCCCAAATATAACATTTGTTTCTAAAGTTTGGTTATTTGACAGTTATGTTCGAAATATTGAACCAGAATAAGCACAGAACATTCAATCCCAAATAAAAAAAAGACTCACCCGTGGGTCACGTTAGTAGTATCCATCAGTGCCTCACAGGACATGTTGTCTTGTCCTATCACGTGACTGACTGCACACACCACGATGACGAAAACACAGGAAATCATGATATCATATGTCTACGTCTTCCTGGAACTTAAAAAATGGGCAAATACTGTGAAAACCATACACCGTTCCACAAAAAATGTTGCAAAATAGTTCGGACCGTTAATCAAATGCACGGCAAATGACACCAGTCCAATAATCTGATTAACACATGTTTTCATAAACATGCACGTAAATATGCAGATAATACGTTATAACGAACTGACGGATATGATGTACTGTTTTCATCTTCCCGAGGAAAGGAAGTTAACTGACTACAAAAGTCCAGTTTCCACTGGAAACTGGACTTTTAGAGTCAGTTAACGCCCTTGCCTCGGGAAGATGAACTGTTTTTTCGTCCGGGGCATTTGCTTTATATATGCTGTAAGTATGCTTATAATGAACTACGGTTATAACGAACTAAACTTTGAGTTCGTAATACTTGTAGTATACTGTAGAAGGATTACAATAACAGCGATAATGATATGATTAAGAATGTGTTGGATAAAATATCTAAAACTGGATAATACAACTATTTTCTTCTTACCTTTTCCTTGCGTACGTACAAAGAGAAGAGAATTTGACAGTCTCAGTCAACCACGCCAGAGTATTATTATCAAAATGGGGCTGCTTCACGTGTTGTTTGTGTAGAGAGGGTGAATAAACATTTTTTATATGTCTGCATTTTATGAAACGTACACCGTAAACAAACTGAAGACTACGCGTATAAACCAAGATGATAAAAACCTTGGCTCAATTGAGTGGCATTTTGTGCATCTATTCCTATCAAGGTTAAACCTATCATTTTGGTTATCCGTGTTGTGGGCTTATTCCTATCAAATCCATGAGTAATTCAGCTATTTGTAAACTTAGGAGATACAGCAGTCAGATACCATGTTGGTGTTCCTTTTTCCAATTACATCGGCAACTACTTTCAGACGAATCCTTTTTCGTTTTTGTCAGTTATCTAATGTGTCCTCATACCAAGTGATTAGCACGTGCATACACGCGTCTATTAAGTATTTCTACCGTCAACAACATCAACACAAATTACGATAAAAGCAGCATGCACTGGTCTAAATATGCATATTACTGCTGCAGAAATAAACTGTGAGTGTGTGTACGCAAGACGCCATTCTGGAACAAATGTTTACAAAACTTCAAAATCTTACCTTTTTTTCAAAAACGGATGCGGAATGGTACGGAAAATAAGATAAAACTCTGCGTGTTACGCAAATGCCGAAGATAATCCCAGAAACAGACTAAGAATGCATCGCTCCAGTATCGGACTGTACTATCAGTAATGATTATGCTACCAGTCGTACAAAACATCATCACCGTTTAAGCCGACGTCATTATGCTAAAAGTAGGTCGAAGTTCAAGGGACACTTTATTATCGCAAGTGAAATTCCATTCTTTCCCCTCTAATGTGGAATTCCCTAACAGCAAAAGCCTCGTGTTGAAACCCAAGACATCAGTCAAACAATCTCCACCTCAGGCGCGGCTTCACGCCGTGCGTGCTACAGAAACCCGCTTCAATAAAAACAAGGTAGCATGCAAATAAAATCACAAAGGTACGGAAGGGTTAGTTCCAAGTATGCATTCTGATGGGTTTTGTGAGAAATGTGAGGGAGTGTGTGGGTGTTCATTGCTGACCGAATTTCGGTCCCTTCCCCCCTCGACGTCGGTCCCGTCTGTGTAAGACAAAGTTTACTAGGGCGATATCACATTGGTGTAAACGCCACCTGCTCGTGTGTTGCAACGGACGTCAGAAGTCTGAATCCGGTAATCACAGAACTGCTAACTTGCATTCAGAGACAATCTCATTCCGCTGCCTTCGAAATACCTCTGGCTGCAGTGGAGTAGTTATGTATTGCATGGATTCACAGTAAACCTGCAACGCCAGATCCTGCCGCATATGGTTCGTACGCCCTGGCGGCCGTTTGTTGAGAGTGGTCGTTCTTTGTTTAACAGGAAAAAGGCAAAATGGCTCACTAACCCCCTCGACCTCGACTCCAACTTCAAGACATGAAAAAGCAATATTTTCTCACTGACTTTTGACTTTTCTCGGACTTTGCACTGCACCTCTCCTATTGGAATACAAACTGTACCCCCATTTGGAAAATAATCCATGAAGTAGTTTTCAAGTTATAGGTCGCACAAATATTGAAGTAAAACAGTTAAAAAGAATTTTTTTCAGAGAATACACAAATCAAAATCAAACTGTGCACTGAACCTTTCCTGTTAGCATAGAAAATGTTCCTTTAATTAAATGTTCCTTAAAAAGAATCCATGTAGTAGTTCTCAGGGTATAGGTCGCACAAATGTGTAAGTGAAAAAAGGAACATGGCTGTATATTTCAGTAAATTCAAATATTGAAATCAAACTTCGCACTGCACGTCTCCTATTGGTACAGAAAGTGTTTGAAAAGAATCTTTGCACTAGTTTTCAAGTTATAGGTCGCACACATAAATGTCCTCGGAAGGAAGAATAAATAGTATTTTGTCAGAAAATACACATCTCAAAATCAAACGTTGAAACGTACCTCTCCTATAAGTATCGAATACTCAAAAATAATCCATCTGTATGACGGCGATCTGTAATTAATCGAGTCTGGACCCAATAATCCAGTGATTGACATCATGAGCATCGATCCACGCAATTGAGATACAATGACATGACCGTTAGTCGCCCCTTACGACAAACATAGTCGCCTCTTACGACAAGCATGGGTTGCTGAAGACCTACCCCCCACCCGGATATTCACGGGTTCGCCTCTTACGTCACTCTACGACACTAGGGGTTGCTGAAGACCTATTCTATTCTACCCCGGATCTTCACGTGTAAGAAATAAGGTATATTAGGTTCATATAGGTATAAAGTCATATTAGGTTCGCGACTGTCCCTAGTTTGTGTGACCGCTTCGAACTATGGATTCCTGCCTGTGCTGGAAAAGGGTCTGTTTGGCTTGGAAGAGCCGAGTGAATCACAGACACGTGAAGTTCAGTTTGACCTCACACACTGGACATGCCATCAAACCGATATTCATGTATCTAGTCCTAACTGTTTTCATACACTCGGGGGTACGATTGGCCCAGTCGTCCAAGGCGCCGCAATTCGCTGAGCAGAGTCGCGTCCCTTTGGCACACCGGAAACCTATGATTTTTGGTTTGTCAGCACCATACCCGCGCTCGTGGGTTTCACTAAAGTGTTAACGTCTGAGACCTGCCTCACTTCGGGCTACGTATAAATGAGTACGTTAACTCACTCACTCATTCAATAAACAATATAAATGTATTTAGAAAAGTCGTAAACTTTGTAGTGACATGACCACATCACTGCAAAAAGATTCTAGCACGTGAGTGAGTATGGTTTGAGGTCCGTTTTTAGCAATATTCCAGTGGCGGGAAATACCAAAAATGGGCTTCACACATTGTACCCATGTTAAGAATCGAGCCAGGGTCTTTGGCGTGATGAGCGAACGCTTTAACTTCTTGGGTACTCCACCGCCCTATCAAGGAACATTCCGCGATTACATAAATGAGGAAACGGCCTTTCAGAAAAAGGTATGTTAATTAACCATTTACATTTCTGTGACGTCATGTACTGCTCGTGCGGGGGTGGGAGTGTCTTTATCTTAACTGCAGTATCAGTAACATGTTATATAGTTAGACCGGGGGGGGGGGGTCGGGGGGGGGGGGGGGGGGTATGCAATGTCTTATCTGACGTAACCTTCACGATCCAAGGTCGTGAGATAAACATGAAAATTGATACTAATGTCAGTTGTGTCTTGCTGTTGTTGGTTGTTGATTTATGTGGAATCGAACCTCCCTTATCCGAACACTTGCATATGTACATAGTTAGACGTCTTTTACTGGTTGTCTATTTGACATACTTTTTTGAATCGAACAAATATATTTAAATACGATACACTACCCACGGAGATCCGGGTTAGAATTGATCTTCAGCAACCCATGTGTGTCGTAAGAGGCAGCAAACGGGATCGGATGGTCAGGCTTGTTGACTCGGTTGATACATGTCACCGTATCTTAATTGCGTAGATCGATGCTCATGATGTCAATCACTGGATTTTGGTTTTTTCTAGATTTGATTATTTACAGACCGCCGTCATATAGCTGGAATATTGTTGAGTATGGCGTTAAACTATTTTACAACGAACTAACAAATAAGCATACGTTATACAAGTTAATCAACAATGGTGATTGCAAGCAGCGTTTTGTATGTCATGACACATAGGTGGGGTGAAATGGAGTTTTCACGCGACATTCAGCAATATTCCGGCTATATCTCCGATATCGATCTACGCAATTGGGATACGATAACATGCATCAACCAAGTCAACGAGCCTGACCACCCGATCCCGTTACTCGCCTCTTACGTCAAGCATTGTCGCCTGCTAGGACAAGCATGGGTTGCTGAAGACCTATTCTACCCCGGATCTTCACAGGTCCTCACATGGGTTGAATGTGTGAAGCCCATGATAATGTTAGAAGTGCTAGAAGCGGCTTAAAAACACTCACTCAAATAGACAATGCTAAAACAGAAATGACGGAGTACAATGAATACAGACAATGATGTAAGTCATGAACAATATAAACAGCTGGCGCATGGCCTTTATAACCAACGTTGGAACGTTTTGGGGTTTTTCCCTCAAATCCTCGCAGTGGGAACTCGGTCAGATAGATGTACGTCAGTGTGTCCGCGTGCTCGACTATGTGTATATGCAGGGACGTTGTAACCCATTGAACATGCGCCGAAGCCTAACACAATGGACCTCATTAATCAGACCAGTACGGTAAATGAAGGTTACACTTGACACGACACGGCCGAAACACTTAAAACTGGCAATGGGTCGCTAAAGGGGCATTCACACGGTACAACTAGTTGCATACGTCAAAAGTTGGTCCGACTTGCGTATTCACACGATGCAAATGGTTGCATGCAACAAATTGTATACAACTAGTTGTATCGTGTGAGTGCCCTTTACCCAGTGCAGCAAATATATGTTTTCCTTACAAGGAAAATTGACC